CAAAAGGTCCATGTCCTTTTTAAATCATGAAAAAAATCATTGGGGAGTTTCATAGTTTCATAGACATTCGGGCTGAAAGGGACCCCAGAGGATCATCGAGTCCAGCCCCCTGCCCCAGGGGCAGGAAGTCAGCAGGGATCATAGGATCCCAGCAAAATAAGCATCCAAATGTATCATGAAGGCATTCAAAGTGGGTACTTGAACAGCCTCTGGCGGCAGTCTATTCCAAACCCTGGGGGCTCAGACAGCAAAGAAGTTCTTCCCTGTGTCCAGCCTGAATCAGTTGTGACGGAGTTTGTGACCGTTTGATATTGTCATCCCTTGGGGAGCTCTGGTGAACAGACATTCCCCCAGATCCTGATGAGTACCCCCGACAAACCTATAGGCGGCCACCAGATCACCCCTGAGCCTGCACTTTTCTAGGCTGAAGAGTCCCATGGCCCCTAGTCTCCCATCATAAGACCTGTTTTCCTGACCTGATCATGCATGTGGCCCTCCCCCGCACTCTGCCAAACCTCTCCACATCCCCCCTGAATTGCAGAGCCCAAAACTGGACACAGCACTCCAGCTACGTGTATCCTGGGTTGTGTTAGAGCACGTAAGATTTTGGTTATTTTGGATAAAATGTGGTCGAGTGGGATGTGAAGATTGAAAGGTAGGGTAGGATTAATTGGATTACAACTGCTAATGCTCTGTATACATGCAGTGACTTCAAAATAATTTTGGGTGTAAGAGAGATTAAAATTGATTAAATAACAAGTCAAGACCCGTAGTTACAACGTTAGTTTATATGAGTAGAAACTCCATAGAATTAGTCCGAGGACTGCATTTTTCTTAAGAGGTCACTGGTGCTACACCCTGGCTTTTTGTGTGTGCTGCCATTTCCTGTACAGAATATTTCACCTTCTTGTTTTAGAATTAGAAAATCAGTTAAAAGGTAGCATAAACTGTTTTAATAGATTTTTGGGAGCCTACAGTCATAGCAGAAAATAAACATCTGTAGGATTTTTTTACAAAGAAAAATGGAAATCTACAGGATCTGGAGAGGAAGAGGTGGTTAAGGGTTGAGGGATAAGATAATTAAATACTATATAGCCCTTACAACAAATAGATATTTATAGATTGTAGATTGTAAGGCTGGAAGGGACCTCGGAAGATCATCAGGTCCCGCCCCAATGATCTATGAGAGACCTTTGGAATTGAGAGAGATAAGAGAGATGAGAGACCTTTGAAATGATAAATGTATAACAGCCTGGGCTTTGGAGCCAAATATAAAATGTGTTTTCTGTGCTCCATGTACAGTGCGTATGTAGATAATAATCACATCTGCATTGTTGCTTTGTCATTACGTGATGTATCAACAGAATTTATGGGTGGGTATTACACAGGAGTACAAGGTGTAAATTAGGTTCCTAATTAGTGCACACTTTAAAAAAAATATATTACCAGTTCTACTTTAAAATTTCCTTCTTGAACTTTTTTTCCAACCCTTTGGTCCCTATGATGCCTCGCCCTTATTTTTACCTTGTTTCCAAACTGTCTATAATCCCATCTTCACTCTTCATTCATCCACCTGTTGTTTCTCCACTCTGGTTCTTGGTGGTCCCGAGAAGTGAATAATTGTAATCCAAAAATCCTTCCAGGTCATTCAGACAGGTCTTGGAGAGGACAGAAGCTGTTAACTAAGTGAAATGGCAAGAGCTGTCTGCATTTCTGAAATGTCCTGCCTTCCTTATAAAATATTGCTGTTTTTCGTGGAATTAAATTCATACTGATACAGATAGCTGTCCTTTCAGATGGACAGTCTTACTGCTTATGTAATATCTTCAGAAACCTAATCTTTTTATTTAGATATTGGTGACTATTTTAAATTTAAGAACATACCCAGTCTTCACTGTTTAAAAAAAATAAAATTCAAGTCAAAAGGAGTTCCAGGATTTAAATAGTTATACAAATTAATAAATCCATTATTGCCCTGGGCAGACACTGAATGGTGCTTAATTCACAAATCACTTGTGTTAAAATATTATATGTATGACATAATAATGACTGGATGTTCTTTAGTTGATGACTAGTTCTGAGCCTAAGTAGTACATGCCTGTATTTGTTTTGTTTTCAAAGGTAGCCCGGGTGGTGGTGGCATCTCGTACCTATGCAGACTTTGCAAGCGAGGCAACATTTGAAATTAAGGTAAGTAAATTGAATATTTCTGAGACTTCAGTACAAGGATTGTTGTTCATCTTGCCATGGTAGAGCGTAAAAAAGGCCTATTGTGTTTGTCCATAACCAGAAGACTTTGCTTGGGAGGATTTCAGAATTGATACCTATTCAGTATGTGAAAAAGCAAAAGAACTTTCTAAACTTTCCTGAGACTTATTAACCTTCTGCATAGATTTGCGTGGGTGGGATGGGGTAGGATTGAGCTGACAGTAGTTATTGCCATAGTTCTTAGCTCTTTCAGATTTGATTCTGCGCCCAAATGTCACCAAATTAAAGTGTCAGGAAGGGGTGCCCTCAATGTGATGCCGCTGTGGCCAGATGGAACTGCCCTGCTCATCTTGGGCGTAGCCAGATTGAGAAGGGCTGCAGCAAGAGCTCATATTCCTGCCTGCATTAGGCAGGAGGGCTTGCTCTTGTTGTGGCTCTTCTCAGTCCTGCCATTCCCATTCCTCCCAGAAACAGAGGCACGAGACGTTTCTTCTCAACCAGGAATGAACCAACAAAGCCAAGGCTGTGATGGAAATCCAACTAGTTACAAGTATCAAGGACAATAAAAAGTCCTTTTTTAGATATGTGGAGAGCTGGAGGAAAAGCAAGGGCAACATTGGACCCCCGCTAAACCAGATGGAACAACTGACAACCGACGCCCAGGAAAAAGCCAGCCTATTAAATGGGTACTTTGTGTCGGTTTTTCATCAGTCCCACAAGACACCCCTGCCCACTACAGGACAGGTGGGCCTGGGTGAGGGAGATTCCCTGCCCTCCATCAGTACTGACCTCGTGAAGGAACACCTTGAGAGGCTGGACACCTTCAAGTCAGCTGGCCCTGACAATCTACACCCCAGGGTACTCAAGGAGCTGGCTAGCATCATAGCCTAGCCCCTGGCACAGATCTTCGAGAACTCCTGGCGCTCTTTTGAAGTGCCTGAAGATTGGAAGAAGGTCAACGTGGTGCCTATCTTCAAGAAAGGGAGGAAAGTGGATCTGGCAAACTACAGGCCCATCAGCCTGACCTCTATCCTGGGGAAGGTCTTAGAAAAGATTATTAAAGAGGCCATTCTCAACAGACTGGCCGATGGCAACTTCCTGAGGGATAGCCAGTACAGGTTTGTTGCAGGTAGCTCTTGTTTGACCAATCTTATCTCCTTTTACGACCGGGTGACCTATCACCTGGACAAGGGAGAGGAGATTGACGTCATATATCTTGACTTCGAAAAAGCCTTCGATCTGGTATCCCACGATCACCTCTTGGCAAAACTGGCCAACTGTGGCCTTGGGTCCGCCACGATCCTCTGGCTGGGGAATTGGCTCCATGGTCGGACCCAGAGGGTGGTGGTTGACAAGCTCAAGAAATGGACGGATGAGAACCTGATGGTGTTTAACACCGAAAAATGCAAGGTTCTCCACCTTGGGAGGAAAAACCTGCAGATCCTTCTAGGCTCGGCAGTGCTATGCTGGTTAGCACTACGGATGAAAGGGACTGACCGCAAGACGAATATGAGCCTGCAGTGCAATGCTGCAGCTAGTAAAGCGAGCAAAACGCTGGCTTGCATCCACAGATGCTTCTCAAGCAAATCCCAGGATGTCATTCTCCCCTTGTACTCGGCCTTGGTGAGGCCACAGCTGGAGTACTGTGTCCAGTTTTGAGTTCCTCAATTCAAAAAGGATATGAGAAGCTTGAGAGAGTCAAGAGAAGAGCCACGCGCATGATCAGAGGTCAGGAAAACAGACCTTACGATGACAGGCTGAGAGCCATGGGACTCTAGCCTGGAAAAGCGCAGGCTCAGGGGTGATCTGATGGCCACCTATAAATTTATCAGGGGTGACCACCAGGATCTGGGGGAATAATTGTTCACCAGAGCGCCCCAAGGGATGACAAGGTTGAATGGTTATAAACTCCTGCAAGACCGTTTCAGGCTGGACATAAGGAAGAATTTCTTCACTGTCTGAGCCCCCAAGGTCTGGAATAGCCTGCCACCGGATGTGGTTCATGCACCTACGTTGAATGCCTTCAAGTGAAATTTGGATGCTTATCTTGCTGGGATCCTATGACCCCAGCTGACTTCCTGCCCTTTGGGCAGGGGGCTGGACTCGATGATCTTCCGAGGTCCCTTCCAGCCCTAATGTCTGTGAAATCTATGCTTGCTTCATATGCTTCTGTGTCTGGGAAATGCCATTTGGGGTGGGATCAGGAAGGGCTGTGATGGGACTGGTGCACCTGCCTGCTTTAGTTGTATCAAATAACCATAATGCAGGCAAGAGTGCATGCTTGCTCGTCTGACTTTGCACAAGGCACACAGGGCAGTTCCACCTGGTTGATGTGGCAGCAGCACCCTGGCTGAAAACCATTGTTGGACCCTATAAAAATTGGCTCCATGTTCTCCTGTGAAAGGTGAATCACTTTATAAAGTTTTGCTTTGCTCAGCTCCTCTGCTAGATCTGAGCTAGAGGAATTTTGAGCAGGAAGAAACTCCAGAAATGATTATGATGAAATGCATTGTCAGCATTTTGTGATCATTTCAATTCCATCCATGCCTGACAGGTAGCTGAGTACTAAGAATGGAAGTCTATTCCCAACAAAAGCAAGATCTTTTGTAACAGGTGCCAAGGTTAGAAGTGGCACAAACGCTTGAGTTTGGTGTATTTAGGTTTTATTTGGGCTCGAACTTGAAAATAACCAATGATTCAAATAGGCTTTAATGCTAAAGTGGCAAACAGGAATATGCAGTTTGTGGACCTACCTCCTTGACTGTCTTTGCAGAAATGTGATCTCCATCGCCTGGAAGAGGGACCTCCTGCCACGGCAGTGCTGACTCGGGAAGAGGGGCTTCATTACTACAAGACTATGCAGACCATTCGCCGCATGGAGTTGAAGGCAGATCAGCTATATAAGCAGAAGATTATTCGTGGCTTCTGCCATTTATATGATGGTCAGGTGAGAGATCTGCTAAGCAGCTTCACAAAGTGTGCTTTTGTTTTGCTCTGATTAGTGTAAGTGTTTGAATAAGGGGAGATAAAATTTTAGCAACTTTCTATGAAAAATACCTTAGTCTTAAATTTCAGTTGATTCATTAATGCTCCGCTACTGCTGTTGTATGTAAGAACCCAAGCTTGGTCTGTTTTACATGATATAAAAAAATGTGTCCCTATCTTCCTTTCACTTCTGATTATGCCTGCTCTTTTCATGAATAGAAAGCCAGTTGAGTGCTGCTCTCTTCACACCCACAACTGGATGGTTACATGGGTAGAGAAAGCCACGCTGGCTACAAGTCTGTGTGGGCTGTAATTGGAATAATAGAAAATGAGGATTGGAAGGGACCCCAGGAAGTCATCTAGTTCAGCCCCGTGTTCAAAGCAGGACCACTTTGAATTAGATCATCCCACCCAAAGTTTTGTCTAGCTGGGTTTTAAAAACCTCCAAAGATGGAGATTTCACAGCCTCTCTGGGTAGCCTGTTTCAGTGCTTTACGACCCGCCTACTGAGAAAGTCTGACATTGTTGCAACCTCTGCCTTCCCAGGACCTAGCCCTAATCTTATATAAGTGTAGTGCTTCTTTTGGATCCAAGGGAGTTGCCTGTGCATGATGCTTCTATTTCCCTTTATATATAGATGCAAGTCCTTGGTCCCAGCTCTCAGCTACAGGAACTGTTTGTAGGAGTCTCATGTCTGTCACTGTTGTCACGCTTACTTTTGTCTTTACCACAGGAAGCTTGCTGTGTAGGACTTGAGGCTGCCATAAAACCCACAGATCACTTGATAACAGCTTACCGAGCCCATGGCTACACCTTCACACGTGGAACTTCGGTCCGAGAGATCCTTGCTGAGCTTACAGGTCTCTGTCCAATAAAATGGCACTGCTACCACTGCTCTGCTGCAACTGCAGTTTGACCTTCCCCATATTTAAATTGTTGCTCTATGAAATTTGTTGGGATATGGGAGGTCAGCTCAGTAATTTGACAAAATAGGTCATTGTCATTGTGATCTCTCATGATACCCTGTTAAACTCACCCTGTAAGTTTAATATTCAGATATAACCTCTTATTTAGAATAATGTAAACTGTAGCTCTTTTTTTCTCACCATCACTTCTGCAAGCCTTTTTAGATACCATAAACTCTGTCTTATTTTTGAAGAGTATACCTTGTTATGGTAGCTTTCGCTACGCCATCTGGACTGTAGCAACTATGCTGCTGGCCCATGTTTTACTCATGCTGGGTTTACAGTCTTACCATGTAGACTAGACTGTTTCATTTTAACTCTGTCCCTGAGCCATACATATTTCTGTTTTTGTCTTCAGAGGAGATGTGGTAGAGTGCTTTGTCTATAATTGCAAGAGTGAATTGTCAAGGATGACTTAATAGGAATCTCACATTCCAATCATGCTAGTTGCTGCTGTGCAGATGGGACAGTTATTTAGGACTAAACTTGTCAGGAAAACATCACAGTGTTCAAATTTGGTTCCTGAAAGATAAACTTTGTTGTGGCTAGTGCTATTTTTATGTGAGTGTTGGGTTTTGGACCACAGAGAAATAGGATCTTTTACTTTGCTTGATGATAATGATGAGGTGTAATAGGATGCTAGGATTTATCCAGGCTCACTCAGTAAGTGCCTTATAATCTCATTAATGTCATTCAGCATTTCAGGTGCTGATAATTACTTCTCCATTACCTTCTGCTCTGTTTGTGGTACTTACTGAAGTGTCTTGTAATGCAGTTAAAATGTAACAGCTGTGAGACAGGGACACTATTTGCCTGGTTCTGTTGGGGTATCTAGGGGTACAGGAGCAATGTAAGAATTATGTAAGAATTATTTTACGCTGATAATGAAGCTGTTGACTTAAATTGTAGCTTAACACACTGCAATAATATTCTAAACTTAAATTGAATATGTAAATTAGAACACTTACATTGTTTTGGACCAGTTATTTTAAATTGAGAAAAAAAATAGGTAGAAATCCTCACCCAACTGAAGTGAATGCAAGTTTGATGTTTGGTTTCGAAAGGCCAGAATTTCCTACTAAATGTCTCTTGAAAATATTTTTTTAGTGATTTAACAAAAGTCAAATCTTGGGAGTTTTAATTTAACTCCTTAAACAGAATGGATCTAGCTACACCTGGTTACAAAAATCCCACTGAGGTCAGAGTCAGGCCCAACATGCCCAAAAGTTTTTTTTGTTTTGCTTTTTTTTAAGGTCGAAAAGGTGGCTGTGCTAAGGGAAAAGGAGGATCGATGCACATGTATGCCAAGAACTTCTATGGTGGGAATGGCATTGTTGGTGCTCAGGTATGTGTACATGATACGGGATGTGCTTTTTAGCATCTTGCAATTTAGTTTTGCTTCAGTTTTGTGAGTTTCTCTTTCTTGCTGTGAGTTTACTTGCAGCTGCTGTTGCTCTGTGTAGCTAATAAATCTGTAGTTTTTATTTACTCTAAATAGGGTTCCACTTAAACATTTGCTAACTGAAGCAAACAGAATGAGGCAAAGACTAAACTATTGCCACTCTCTCTCTAGGAAATAGTGAAAAAGCCTTTATAGCTACACTTGTTATCTATTTCATTGATTTTTTTATTTTTTTTTTATAGTTCACAGTTGGCTTTCTCTAACTTTCTAAGTAGTGCTCTTAAATGTCAGTTTAATTTACTAAAGGCAATCAGGACTTGTAATAGAGATGATATCTTTTATTAGACCAATGAGATTTTTTTGAAAAAAAAATTCTTTATTTGCAAGGTTTCGGGCACAAATGCCCTTCGTCAGGCATTGGAGAAAAGATTGTAAAAGTTCTCCTGGGTAGAAATGAAAGTTCATGTTTCATAGGATTTCACAAAGGAGTCAATAGATGGAAAACTCCTCTGGGCAGTCAGTTCATAGCTGGTGTGAAGTCTCTCACCTGTGAGGATCTGTGACGATACAAATTACCTTGAAACAAAGGCAGGAGCAGGATCTCAGGTTTCAGGTGGTCACAGTTGCTTCCTGCTTGGGAAAATGTGAAGATTTAATTTACTAGATTTGTATGTTGTGATTTCACTATAGGTTCCTCTTGGGGCTGGCATTGCCTTGGCCTGTAAGTACTTTGGCAAGGATGAAATCTGCTTAACTTTATATGGGGATGGTGCTGCCAATCAGGTAAGATTTCTTGATCAAATTGAATTGGTACTTATGTGCATGTACAGTCCTCTTGTAGATGTGGTGTTTATGAAGAGGTTAGCAGCCTTGCAGAACCAGGTGCTTTATCTTCAAGAAAAAACAGCATGGAAACCGGCTGTGCATCCTTCCTAACCTTTTCTTATGAGGTATTCTTCACCTGGGATGATCATTCAATCTCCATGCTCACTGTCCCCTGTCGTATTTGGTAGTTGTAGTCCAGGCAATTACATTATGCTAAGTTCAAATTAATCTTTTACATCAATGGCTGGCAACCTTTAACAAGCTGTGGGCCAAGATAACCCAGCTCTGCACTTCACCAGTGCATCAGTGGTAGGGGGTTTTGCTTGTACCTGTGCCAAGGCCAGACATCTGGGAGCTGTGCCTGTGCTGCTTCTCTCAATGCCGCTGCTCCCAAACTGCAGCAAAGGCACAGCTTCTGACCAGTAAGGAGCTGCATCCAGGCCAGGGTCCACACTGCCACTGCTTACAGACCCCTGCCACTCACCTCCCAGCTAGACACTGCACCCGTGCTGAAGCCAGGGGTAGGGAAGGAGAGGGAGAAAGGAGGCGGAGAGAAACAGCAGTGATGTGGCCACAGTTGGAAGATGCCTGGCTCTGGCACAGCTCCTTTTTGTATGGCCCTGGTGCAGGCTTGAGCACAGCCCTCTAGTTCCACAGGCCAGATCTGGCCCCTGGGCTGTATGTTGCCAACATGTTTTATATACAGCAGTGGGGGTTTTGTCCCAACAGCTGCCTGAAACTGACAGCCAGTTGTGAAAGAGATCAAACGGGACAGGGTTAGATATTCCGCACTTTGAGCTGTGTTTTATGTAGTGGGTAGAAATTCACTGTTTGAGAGTCTGAAGCCATGTGTACTGCTGGGCAACAGCCATAATTTTTTTGTCCCTACCTGTCTGCTGTGTCATCTGGGTTTTCTACGTACATTTAACATATTCTCCAAAATTGATTTTATGACTCAAAAGAATTTACCAGAAATTAGGGAAATAGGCTTGTCTTTCATATCTGACTGGAAAGCCAGCATGGTGGTAATGAGATAGAGCATCCTAGTAAGAAGCCCAGTTCCTTATGTATTCAGAGCACAAAGATTACTTGGATTTCTGCCTTGCCATCTGCTTGGAGAGCATCATGCTAGCATGCCTGTGTTATAAATGTGATGTTCTGCTTCTCCCTAGCTATTCCAGTAGCTGAGGGGAAAATATTTTAGGTCTCTTT